ATCTGGAAAGAGATTTGTCGTCTCCTATCATACATGTGCTTGTGCACAGTAATAATTATGAAAGTCTAACTTATTTTAATTATGGCTTTGCAAAAGCTATATGCAGAGTCTTTAGCAAGGTTTCAGGGTGGATCCCCATATATATATCCACTTTATGGTCTAGGAGAGCTTCCTCAGGTCTGTAATACAGCCTACATCAGGTAAAGAGCATTCCTTTGGAATTTCTTTGTTACTTTGACAATTATAATTATCGACAGGGATTTGCCCGTTTGAGTGCTGTTTATGGTGGTACCTACATGCTTAACAAAACAGAATGCAAGGTATTTACGTGCTTGCGACTCTAAGTACGTAAAATATATGAATTCCTTATAGGGTCCTCCTGGCCATATATAGTCAGAGCCTGATGCAGGATGCTTGATGGTTACTAATGACAGGTTGAGTTTGATGAAAACGGAAAGGTTGTAGGTGTGACCTCTGAAGGAGAAACAGCTAAATGCAAGAAAGTTGTATGTGATCCTTCATACTTACCTGACAAGGTATGCAACTTCTAACGACCATATTATGTGATGATCATTTTGAGTTTTTTTTCCCTTTCCTTTTTTTATTTATTTTATTTTATTACTGAAACTTTCTGTTTATCAATAGGTGAAGAAGGTCGGGAAAGTGGCTCGTGCTATATGCATTATGAGCCATCCGGTCCCAAATACTAATGACTCTTCGTCAGTCCAAGTTATCCTGCCTCAAAAACAGCTTGACCGTAAATCTGATATGTATGTTTACCAAAGTCTTTTGAATGGTGAATTAAGCACATTTTGAATATATCTGTTAGTTAGTTACTTGAAACCCAGGCATAGCAAGTAATGAGCAACAATTTCAAAGACAATAGACGCCTTTTTATCTTTTTTTTTTTTTTGGCTTTGAATTTCTCATATTTGGTTTTGAAAATGCTGTATGTTTGGGTGAAAGCCTTTACTTGCAAAAGCACCTGAATTACTTAGTAGGTGTCATCTGAATTAGAGGCTGAGGGAGAAATTTTTTCCGAGGAGCTGATATTTTAAGTTATATTGCACAGTATTTTTGTGCTCATACTTCAAAATGGTAGGCTATGATAAAAAGTATTTTTTGATGTTGAGAACAGTGTTACACTCTCTCAGGACCACAATATAAGTCATAGTTAACTAATTCACGATTTACGAATAATGTTAGTTGAAGCCTTAAATTTTTAAAAATGTCTACATTTTTTCATTTATACCCTCATTAAATATCTTATATAAGAGCTTTGATAATAATAATTAAAATTTCAACACATGATTTTTTTTTTTCAAAAAGAGTAATAAATGAAGTAGGGATATAGTTGAAAAAAAACAAATACAAAAGTTATCAAATGTCTTATATTTTGAATCAAGTAAAGTTTCTAAAAGATATCTTATATTATGGTTTAGAGGGAGTAAGTTTTTCTTCAACATCACAATATTGAACGTATGGGGCATAAGTCTAAATAAAGTCCTATATTATGATTTCATGATTTGATACTAATAGTAATAAGATTCATAAGAAGATAATTTATCAAATTAGTGGCTGTTAAAATAAAGAAATGTTATAGAGACAATACAAATGCAAGACCAAGTAGAAAAATATCAAAAATAAGATAGCAATATTTTTTTAAAAGGGCCGGGGGCTTTGACCTGCATGACTTGCAAATAGTCAGCTCAAGGGGACGTCATATTATTTTGGGTTAATGATTGCTTCAGGTATCTTTTCTGCTGCTCTTACTCTCACAATGTAGCTCCAAAAGGAAAATACATCGCTTTTGTTACCACAGAAGCAGAGACCGACAATCCTGAAGTGGAATTGAAGCCCGGCATAGATCTCCTTGGACCCACAGATGAAATCTTTTTTGACACTTACGATAGATATGAACCAGCGAATCAAAGCGCTGAAGACAACTGCTTCATATCCGCAGTAAGTGTAATTTAATGGGAATTTTCATATCTATCTCCGATAAACTTGTTTAACTGGGGCCTTTTGCTCTATCTGCCAAAGTTCGATACATAAGAGCATAGGTTCAGTACTCGATATTCATCTAGTCCTAAATGGATAAATGTCATGACATTGTTAACTTTGCTTTTATTTTCATCTCTGCCGTACTCCTTTATGTAAGTTTTCCTTATGAGAAGAGTTTTATCTGCAAGCGTGGCTTTTTTATTGCAATAATAATTTTAAATTGGTCATATACTAAAATTTAATTTACAGAGCTACGACGCAACGACCCATTTTGAGACCACGGTGAGAGATGTGATTGCCATGTACAGCAAGATAACTGGAAAGGTAATAATTTCTCTGTCTTACCATGTGAACATATGGCTGCCGAACATACGTCTATGAGTTTAGCTATCTAAGAACTGCAGAATTAAGTTCACGTTTGTGTGCTGAAGTTCTCTAGCATTTTAACGGAGCAAGAAGAAACCAGGATATGCAGACATCTTGCCTTAAGAAACTTTAGTGTAACATCTCCTATGAACTGCAGATGAGATCAGTCATCTTAATTATTTTCTCATATGTTATGCTTTAACATCTCAATATACAGAACTGAAGATAAAATTATTTGTTTTCTACTACACTTGCATCGATAGAGGCTAGGAGGATATTATTTTTAGGTAAATATTTTAAGTTGGTACAGCATTAGAGTTTACCTAATCGAAATGTAGAGTGGAGAATCAAAAAAGGAGTGAAAATGAGGGCATAATATCATTTTTTAAGAGTGGGCTTCCCTCCTTTGCACCTCCGCCGAGGAGGTAAATAATTTGGACCATCTAAATTGTCTAAATTTAATATTTTTTATTTTACATTTTTCAAAATAAAAAAATTATAAAAATTGTAAACTTTTTTTAATAAATTTATCCACGAGTCTAGACAGTTCAAATTTAATAAGAATGGTTCACATTTAATATTAAAATTTTTATAAATAGCTATCTAGATATATGATCATTCATATTAAATCTACATTGTCTAAACTAGTGAATAGATTTATTAATTTTTTTAATTTATACAATTTTTATTTAAAAAAATATAAAATAAAAAATTAAATTTAGATAATCCAAATTATGCATCTTCTTAGTGGAGATGCAAAAGGAGGGAAGCCAACTCCCATTTTTTATGGGTTAGCTTGCTTGGGCATATATAGAAAATCCAACAAATTTAAAAATTCAGACATAAAAATAAATTTTAAATATAAAAAATTGATCTCTCAAAAGCTATGCCTACTTCTGTATTTAAAATAATTGGTGGATCACCTGGGAATTAAAGGGTAGTGTAATTAGGAAAATAGGTAAAGAGGTGCTTTTGGAATTGAATAAGGGCAAGACTTATATACTTACCTTTATATACTTAATATACTTTCATCCAATAATAATATTAATAATAATAATAATTTATGATAAAATAAATAATGGATAATAAATATGCAAGTCTTTTTGTGTTAGATGGAAATGAATTGATATTTTGTATTTTTGCACGTATGTGTATGTGTTTTGCTAATTAAATGGAAGTATTGTTGCGTTTTCTGGCCTTTTTGTCACGTATAAAGTTTTGTTTATTCTGAAGTCCTATCAAACCTAAAGGCATTGAAGTAGTCTCTGTCAAGTCTATAGTCATTCTTAGGAGAATATTGGTGCCTGATCTTGTATTTTGTCATCTAATTGACATGAATGAGGATACTAATTGATCATGTTTGAGTTTGCAAAGAAATGGCTTGAGATTTGAAACCCTAGCATAACCTTTGATGCATCAGACTTCTTATTTCAAGGTTTTGGGCCATCAGGGTCTCCTTTCTGTCTTGGTTTAAGCTATGGATGAGGGTGCTGTCAATGCTAAAGTGTTTAAACTAATTCGTTATTTTATTGATTCCTAATCTCAGGAGTTGGACCTGTCTGTTGATCTGAGTGCTGCGAGTGCTGCTGAAGAATGAATTTTTGGTATTTCAATGGTAAAATTCTGTATCAGTACCATTGCGCCAAGCGATTGATATTGTGCTTGTTTATTTTTCTTCTCCCGAACCCGCAGAGGCTGTGATTGATTTTGTCCTTATATTTCGTGTGCCTTCTTCCTTGTCCAAAGAACAGAGAATTCTCCTGTTGATGCCTTTGGTTTGTTCTTAACCTCTTATTGACATGATACTTATGCTTAACTCTTTAATCGTGACAATAAAGTAGAAAGTTTCTTTCTTAACAAGTTTTTGAAGATTACTCTGAAAATATGCAAGTATGATCAACCCCACCCCTAAAAGAAAAAAGAAAAGAAAGAAAGTTATCCGAACATTGGCAGGTCACTAGGACCGAACAATCGCATTTAGATTTCAGCTTTTATTTTTTGCATTCCTTGATTTGCTCCTCTGAGCGTAGTTTTCCCCGCTCCCCCTATAGAGATTCTGTAAAGACGTGTTAAAACTTATATGATCAAAATAGTCAAATATAATCATTAAGATATAAAGTTTTGAACTACTCTCTTCGTTAAAAAATATAATGTATATTTAATTAAATCTCATCTTTTAATAAAATAGTTACCTACTTTTAAACTAGCATTATCTTTTTATATTTACTTCAATTAAACACTCTACAATAAATATAAAGTCATTATTAATAGGGACACTTTAAAAAAAAAACAATAATTATATCTTGAAATATTAAAAATATTTTACATTTTTGAGCATTTAACTCCTTAAAAAATACTTTATATTTTGAATGGAAGGAGCATGTAACTTCAATTTTTTTAATTAATAAAATGAAAAACAATGTTCAACTTAATCCCAACTTAATTGCTAACCAGCCTAACCAGTTCAGCTGGTTTCACAGCCATGTCCAGTTGAATTGTTGTTCAAATTTCTGGACATGACTGTGAAGTAAAACTAGAATGCATCCCCGGGATGCTAGAGGCTTTGGTTTATTGTAAATTAAGAGTATAGTGTTGTTGTGATTTTGAAATATAAATTAGTCTTAACTTTGCACCTGCATGGGATTTATATTCAAGTATCACTGCAGCCTTATGGTTGTCAGTTTACCCACTGAAGTATGAAAAACACCTGAGTGAAAATGAAACAGCATACTAAAAATGTTAATTTAAATTATGACATCATAATGTCGTTTGCATCAAATATCAAAGTACAAAATAAAATAAATAGAAATAAGGTTTCCCAATGCACAAAGTTTAAAATTGAAGTAATTATTTATAAAAATGATGAAACTTATCATAAATTTTATATTTTATACTGATACCGTGATTAAATAATGTGTAAGAAAATACTTATTAGCAGGTCTAATGATAATCCATGACATTATTTGTTCAATAACTCATCGTAATAAAATACAAATCCCCACTACTCCCTTTTGGATTTTGAGAGTGCCTTCTTCCTCTGAGCAAGCATATGTCTGAACAGATGTGGAACGCCTGCATAAAATAATTGTGTCATGTTCTTGAAGTCAGTCACAAAGATTAGCAAGTGTAACTTTATTTATTTATCATCATCATAAGGATGCCAACTTCATGCCTGGAACATAGATTCCCAATACTCCAATGGCAACGTACGAGTAATCAAATGACAAGTTCCATTTGTTTGGCATCCTTGTGCTGTACTTCCCTGTTTCCTGCTTGACAATAACATGTTGGCAAAAAAACTGTAACAATAATGATTAAAATAATAAAAATAAAAATAAAAATAAGACAGTCTTTCCCTATTCCTCTCTGAATTCATATCTTAAGTATTTCAGGAAATCCATATCCGTATAAAACCCGAGAGGTTACCAAAGATTATAAACCAGCAATAAAAAAGACAGAATTTTCTGTCTCCCACATGATAAAAAATCGGCTCTTCAAATTGATTACCTTAATAAAAGGCAAGGCACTGTATATTAGACCTACTTCACTGATGATGCCTGTTAGAAACATCACAAAGAAGGTGTTATACCTGCAAGGCAAACTTTATATTCAATGGTACAGCAACATAGTGATTAACCTACTGCCAAATTCAAACTTCATACCTTAGCCATAAAAGCCATGAAGGTACAAAGCCAAAAGTCTCTTTCATGCCATAGAAAGCATAACGAACGGCCTGTTAAGATGTGTAGTCCTCTTATCTTTTCAATCATAGGGAGTAGTTAACTTGAAGAAACTTATCTATTCCAGGGGAAGATGTAGCAAATTCAAACTTGTAGATTCTTACAATCGTAACGTACGTAAGTTGACTCGTTTCGTGCAAGACTTATATATATATATATATACACACTTTTTTTTTTTTTGACATCTTGGATAATGTTCGATGTGTATGGTAAATAAAACAAGAAGCAGACACTTGCTATTTGAATAACAAGTCTTGCGATCTCATCAAAACGAATAAACTACAGAAATGGAAAAAAGTATAAACTTTACAACAACAACAACAACAACAACAACAACAAAAAAGCATTCTTGATGTACTTGCCTCGGTAATAGAAAAGCTAATTAGCAGGGAGCTAACAAGTACGTGAGTCCGAGTCTGTCATATATGAACAGTCATGTGAAATTTTCCTATGCCAAGGATATAATATATGCTTCAACTTTCAACAAACAAAGCATCAAAAAGTTTAATTTTTTCCAACCTCAGGGAAGCTCCATAATATGCCCCACATTAAGTACAGTCTTGAAGCTATCTGTGGTAACGTTGCTGCTACTGGAGACCTCACCAACCCTTCTCAAATGAAAAAAGAACAAAGTCATAAACACTGAATCTTTACTCAAATCAGCATCGTTCTTTTTTCCAGATGAAGGTAATGAGTGATGAGCAAGGGATCACTCACCTGCTAAGCCATGAAATATCTATCACATTGTGCAATTCAAAGCCGTACCAACGAAAAAGAGAAGGAAGGGTTAATATAATTCCACAGGCTAAGGAAATATTGATTTTTCTAAGGAAACCAACAGAAGTGTGTGTCCATAATAAAGAAGAATCTGGTTTTTTTTGGGTACAGTTACCTCTAATACAGCAGCTGTTTGAGAAAAAAGCATAGGCTTTTCGGCCACACTGTATACATGTTCATGACCTGATTCCTTCAATGCCTTCAAAACGAGATACAGAACTTGAAACCTAGTCACTAATACAGAGATTTGAGCATTTCCTCCAACAGAAATGAGGCCAAGGAGAAAGAGAAATCAAATTGTTTCATCTATATTCATGCAGCAGTGATTGACACAGAAACATACATATAAGATTGGACTTCCATTTTTAAAAGGTCTAAGCACTATATGTAGTAAATGTAAAATGAATTATTTGGCGAAGAGAAATAATGGGCTAGTACCATCCAATGAAAAGGATCCAGTTGTATAGAGCGAAGTAGAGGCGCCTTACGAGCAAGAGAAAAGCTGCCATTGAAGAAAGTGATGAGCAGAAGGGAAAGAGAAGGGTGGGGAAAACAGAAACTATTTTTCTGAAGAAAGTGCAGGAAATAGTTAAGTGGTCGCCAATTAATTAATGATGAGAGTGAGGGAAAAGATAAGAAATGAAAAATAAAACTTATTTAAAAATTAAAGTCATTAAAAATATTGATTAAGTTAGTATAATATAAAATGTTTTTATTAAAAAAAGTATGAATAACGTGTTGTATGGTCCATGTAAAAATCTTCGTTCAGTTCTCAATAGATGTCACGTTACAATTAATTGCCCACCTGATTCTCAACGGCCAACGCCCCACCTGATGCTCAACGATTCACCTGCTTACCAGCATGTCCATGCTCCCATAACGAATTATGACTTTTGATGTTTTTTTTTTTTTTAGCACTTTGGTGAGGATGGGCTTGGATGTGGATCTGGGGAAGTATGCATGGCCCAGTATTCATGCTTGGGAGGATTAATTCACTTGATAGCTGATACAATGAAGGATAATTTGACGAAATCCCAAGCACCGAAGTGCGTCTACTCTGCAACTTTTGAATTCATTTCCTCCTCGGATAGGGGTCTCAACACCATATTTTTAATCTTCTTATCAGGGTACAGCCAAGTATCTTCAAAGAAATAAATTGAGTCTCCATTCCTCCGAAATGGAAGCCCCCTCCACGGGGTTGGGTCAAATTTAGCACCGATGGTGCTGTTTCAACGAATACGGGCAAAGCTGGCTGTGGAGGAGTCCTCGGAGACCATGAAGGAGTTTGGATTGAGTGTTAAGAAGGCTTCGGCCAGCATGGGATATGGGCTTTAGAAAGGTAATCATCGAATCTGATTCAAAGATCTTAGTGGATCTTCTTAATGGACAACATGGGAATCAATTCAATGGAAGTTTGATCTTCTTAGAAGCCCAGAGTCTACTTCGATACAACTGGAATGTGCTAGTGAACTTCATTCCCAGAGAGCAAAATATGGTGGCAGACTTACCGGCGAAAAAGGAGGTCTCAGCCTCCTCCTTCTTTTATTCGACTCCCCCATTTTGAGGGACTTGGTGTTGAAAGAAGACATAGGATTTCAATCCCCTCTATATGTTTAATTTTCGAAGTTAAAATTCAAATTTACTCCTGTAGTATTTTTTAGAAGCGCTGGCGCCTTATCCCTTTAAGCAAAGCAATTTTATTTTTAAATTATTTTTTAAAAAATAAAAATATCTTTTTTATTATTGAATTGTGAATTTTTTTCATTTTCAGCTAACGTGATATGTGTAGGGCTTATATATAGTGATATATAAAAATTTGACCATATCTTTTAATGTTTATTTATCCTTGAATTCTTTTCCTAAGAATGCTAAACACTTCAAAATCTTTTTCTAAAAGAGTTAGGTACTTTAAAGTATTGTTAAATATAATTTAATAAGTATTATTTTAATATTGAGTATTTTAATATTTAATAATTTAAATATTATTATTTAAAACATTACACTATCCAATTTAATATTTTAATATTTTTAATATTTTGTATGAAAAACAAAGGGAATGAATCTCTAAATTAATGAAGAAATTTTTGCTTCTTATCTCCTTATTTTTCTTTCACTAAGTAACTTTTTTTATAGCACATTAATGAAATAAGTAATATTTTTTAAATAAATATTTTTGTTAGCATATTGCTGGTCTTGATTTTGTCATGTTTCTAATTTTACTTTTAACACTCCAACATACAGAAAGTATTAAATTTAAATAGTAAAATATGGTAAAGGAAAATCGTTAGTTGTTTGAAAAAATTATAGAAAATGATCAAAAAATTTAAGAAACTTGATCAATATTAAAAATATAAGTAAGTTTTGATACGCACAAAAGGCATAATAATTTGGATACTAGCTTGAATAGAAGATCAAATATCAATATTAAAAAAAAAGAAGTCACCTATTAATTTATAAAATGCTAATTTGAGTTGTTAATATTTAAAAAGTAATTTATAAAATTTGAATAAATATTTATAAATATTAATATTTAAATTATTAAATATGAAAATATTTAATATTTTGGCAATATTTATTAAATTTAGTTAAATAAAACTTTAAGGTGCCTAGTACTCCTAAAAAAAATTTAGGATGCCTAGTACTTTTAGATAAAAAGTTTAAGAATAAATCAACACTAAAGGATATAACTAAAATCTTACCTGTTACTATACGTTAACCCCGCGCACATGTCCTGTCAGCATAAAATGGCAAAGTAAACGGCCTCATAATAAAAGGGCTTCTTTGGACTTTGAAAAAATATTTCACAAAAAAATTATTTAAAAATATAAGATGCTCAATACTTTTAAAAAATAAATACAAGAATAAAATTAAATATTAACCTTTAATTTTCTATTGTAATTGGGCTTAGCCCTCTTTTATAACCAAAGAAAGACAATTTCTTTAAACACAAAAATTGGGCATTTTTGGGCCATTGTGTTCAAGACAAAGGGTATTGAATACTTGTTAGGCCTTAGGTCATGGCAGGACAATTGTCATTGCCCACAATATTGGGCTTTTTGGGGCCTAAAAAGATTGGATTTGGGTGGTTTAAGAGTTCTCGGCCAAGCTGCAATCCAACGGGTTATAATTCATTTAATATATTTTAAATTTTACATGTTAAGAATAACGTTCAAGATAGAAAATTAAATTTATAGAATTAATTTATTAACTTTACTAGATCAGGTCTGTGATAGTTTTAAAACCCAACCAAGATAATTCTTGAGTTGGATATGAAATTGATCCAAACTACTCTCTCCTCCAAAAATATAAACTGTTTCTAGAAAAAATTTATATGTCAATAAAGTTTTTATTTTTATCAAAATATATATTGTATTTTTCCCTTAGTTCCAATTAGTAATGTATTTCATAATGAGTGAAAGATAAATTTATACAATAATCTAAGTTAATAAATACAAGAAAAAATGAGAGATTTTTACATATATTAGGCTATTTTATATTCTAAATCAAGATTAACTAGGTAAAAATACTTATATTTTGGACCAAAAGGAGTATAATTATTTTTCATACTTGATATTGTCTGAAATTAATTTGAATTTTGAGAATTGCAAAGTCAAAAATTAAAAAATAGAATGCTTTTATAATATTGCACCATGCTTGATTGGTTATTCAACGAAATATTGAAGATTGTTCATTGAACCAAACAAGCTAGTGATTTAAGAGTCTTTGAGCAACATGTAATCCAATGGTCATAATTCATTTAATATATTTTAAATTTTATATGTCAAAAATAATGTTCAGGGTAATATTTTATGAAAATATTACTTTAGAAAATTAAATTTATAAGATCAATTTAAATATTTTTCCTTTTATATATCATTTTATTGGTGAGTATACAAAATGGAAAGGCGAGAACATGAGAGGTTGTCATCTCTTCAATCTAGCAAAAATGTTATAATTGGTCTTCAAAAATATAATATAAAAAAATTCATAATTTTTTATTTCTTTAAAATAAAAGGAAAATTGTATGTAATTTTTTGGGCTATAATATAATTTTTGGCCCAAGCCAATCTTAAGCTTAGAGGAGGGAATAAGTTAAATTGATTAAGCTAACATCTTATTTCTAACTCAAGTATAACAAATACTTCTAAAAGAGAAAATGTTTCCCTTTATTTGGATGGAATGAAACAAGGGAATGGGAGCCCCTCCCTTCTCTTTGTTTGATAATATTATAGTGGAGAGGAGGGGACCTCTCCAAATTAAGAGGATTTGAAGGGATTTCTTTCCCAACCTCATCTCCCTTTCCTCTTCTCCTCCCGCCTCTCTCATCCCTCCCATTAAAATCTTTTCCTTCTACTCCCACCAAACCAAATATAATGTTAGTCACTAATGCGTCACTTTAAAAAATGTGAAAGTATAAGAAATTTATCTTCTATTTAGTTGAAAGATATTAAAATTTTTCTCCTCTTATTTATATGGGATAAGGGGAGAAGAGGGGCTCCCCTCCTTTTATTTGACAATATTATATTGTAAGGTAGGGGAGGAAAAATTTCCAAACCCTCCCCTTTATACTGGGAAGATTGGGAGGGATTCCTCCATCTCCCACCCCTTCCCTCTAAACAAATATAATGTGGTAAAAGTATAGCAAATGGCCTTAAAAAAATGGAACACAAACTCATGAGAAAATTGCCACCTTTTGACTTTAAAAGGGTAAGCAAGACTTGTCATGATTCGTCTCTGATCTAACTTTGGTTAACTCAACATAACAACCAACATTCAAACATAAACACTTCCTTCTATAGTATTAGATGCAATTCCCTTCTATCAATGCGCATCTAGTAGAGAGCAATAAGCCTTCACAGAGCAGTACAGCGACAACACCCCTCCAACAATAGTATCACTGCTAGCTTCAACATTTTTCTTTTAGTGTTCCATCTTATATTTTTTTGTGATTTCTTCTATGTTAATATTAATACAATGCTAGCTCTTACCATGCAGTTCTTTCATGTTTCTCTATTTGTAAACATTAGCATTTTTGAAAATTATGATAAACAACCATGTGAACTCATCGTTCGATTTGGAAAAAAAGAATATCGCACCGTTTAATACACACTCCTTTGGCACGTTGGTGTGCCAAAAAGCACCACAAACAATAATTATTTTAAAATTTATAATTTTAGAAAACACACACACACATGTTTCTTGCACATTTTCCCACTAGCTTTTCCATTTCAATGCTTATAGATATGCATAAAATATAGTTTAAAAATGATTTAATTTTTTTTAAAAATTTTTAAAACTAATTCGTTGGATCCTAACAAGTTTTAATCCACAATATCAAACCAGATACAATGTCAATTCTCAGTCCTTTCTAAATGTTTAAGGTTGTTATTCAGGATTCCTTACATTGCATAGGGGAAAACATTACATATAAACAAACAAGGGTTTTAAATTTTCAAGTTAAATCTTAAATATTAAAATCATTTTTCAATATTAATTTTAAATGACTTTCATCTAAATTTTTGAATTAAGTGTTTATAAAATTATTATCAAAATAAGTAAAATTACAATCTTCTTATAAAAAATCATAAAGCATAATAAATTGATTTTGTTAGTACAAAAATTAGAACAGTTCTACTTAAAGTTATATTTTAAAACTGGGTAACATCCCATTCTTAAAATTCAGGTCTCAGTACAAGTTTTTCCTATTACATGTTGGGGCAGTGGATGCTATATGAAGAAAGAGATATTCCCATCTTACGAAAAGCAAGTACCAAAAATATTAAAAAAAAAAAGGGAGAGAAAAATACAAAAGAAAAAGAAAAGAAAAAAGAGGCAAAAGAAGAAAAGGGCTCTGGAAACAGCCTGCAACAAATAGACCCATCAACCAATGTTTCATCAAGTGTCCTCAGTGGTGTGTCCTGTTAATGACCCTCCCCATGCTGGTTTTAGACAAAGACAACATGATATAGCTTGTCTGATTAGACACCAAAATAAGTCGGATTCATCACACCTTGCCATTTAAGTGTTGTTATCCAGTTAATGTTACATCAACTATGAATCTTTGTTAATTTACCAAAAAATAAAAGCCTATGAATCTTTGTTACTGTCCTGTATATTTTATTAACTCCTCACAACTTCTTATTGCTGTTCCCCTGTCTTTCTTGCTATTCAAACTCAGCGTAATATGTGTGAAAATGCGTTCGAATGAATTAAGTAAAAATCATTAATTAGTCGGCTTAAAATATATTTTTTTGATTGATAATTATTTCTTCTTATTGTCATGAGAAGAAGAAATTATACTTTGGTTTTTAAGATGACTAATTTATTACTGTCACAAAATTGGGAAAACAATGATTCTCTTTTCATATCATGGGATGATAGACTGGGAAATATTTGCGCATGCGACATTGCAACAGAAAGTATGAGGTTAGAAAATGTTCTAAAATGACAGCATTAGTACTTTCTTTCATTTGGAATTATATCACACTCTCAATGTCATAAAATATAAGATATTTTTATAAAAATAAAATTTTATTAATGATTTTTTTTAATATTATCTTTTCAATTTTATTCTTTAAAGTATTAAACTAAGAACATTTATTGAAGTTTATATTTTTATTTTTTAAAAAATAAAATAATAAAATATATTTAATAAATTTTATTAATATGCATGACTTCGTTTAAAAGTGTTATAGAAAGAAGTAATTGTTTATTCAATTATGTGAGAGGAAATAGCTCCAAATATTTGCCCAATGAACAGAGTTAAATATCGCATGGCATTTATCGTTAGCAATTAAATTGCATAAAGTTAAAAATAGGAACATAGCAACTCAAGACTTAATGTCTGCTCATGGCTGGTCCCAACTCAATAGTTCTGCATCTCCCTCACAGTTATTCGTATTTCACTTTTCAGGTCAAACCAAACAACCAGCCGATTAGGAGTGAAAGATTTCTGACATTGAATGTATCACACATGTATTCATTTTCGTGAATGTAGGAATTGAATTGCTTCTCAGTTCTCAACACATGATTAAGATAATTGAAACCTCATTTTTTTTTCAAACTTTTCTGGATTTTAATAAATATCTTCACTCCCTCAGATTATCCATTTAACATTTTTTTTATAAAAATTTTCTATGATAAACCCAATTTATAAACTCTTTTCTGCAAAGTAATCCACGTGAATCGGGATCTACGGACTTGGAACCTCGTAAAGATTACGTCGTCAATTCTGGACATTAACATCGATGGGATCTGATTTAACTGAGATGTACGTTTATATCTTAATAATTACGATAGTTTATTATATATGCACGAGTAGGGATCACGCTGACTCTTTATTATTATTAATCTTTTCTAAGCAATCAATAATAATCTGAGATTTTATGCTTATCTTATAATTTAGGTACATGTAGTTGAACTTCGACCATTGTTGTCACCGACAAATGTCTTCTATTTTAGTATATATATCATTGATTACAAACTCAACCAAGCCAATACACCAACCGAATTGGAAAAAATAAAAACTGGCAAATGCTTATTTATCTCTCAGAGATGAAGACGTTAGTAAGAACAAGGCGTCTTCACTTATTTGCTTCTTCTTATGGAAGATTCCTTGTAAGGCTTATCGAGAAAGTCCCATTTCATTACAAGTTTTAGGATTTGGATTCTTTCCATTGAATTGAAAATTTATTAGGAATAAATACGACAACACTAACCTGTCGTGAGTCATTACTGGCGTTTCATAAAATCATCACATGCATTCTCTAAAATTATCACTAAGTCCTCCTGAGTCCTAATTACGTTTTCATTAAAAAAAATCATAATAGTAAAATTTTTTAATGTAAAAAATTATTACTAATTTTAAAGAATAAAATGATAATTTATTCTTATATACTCACTCCAGACCTGTTTATAAGTTAATTCTAATATATTTTATTAGAATCAAGGAAGATTTTAAATCTTAATGACCCAAGTGGTTTTCAACTTTGTTTATATTAAATAAACATGCTTTTAAAAATAAAATAATTCAATATTTTAGTAAGAAAACAATGATAAAGTTGAAAAAAAAATATCATATCGGTGATTATAGCAAGTACTTTGTTCATGTCAGATTATGAAAGGAAAAGATGTATGCTGGATGGTAGAAACCTTATGTGATCTTCTTTGATAATGTTATCACCTTTTATTCATATATATATATATATATATATATACCAGAGGTTCCACAGAGGAGCATTTGTAAGACACAATATAATTTTTAAAATGTTTAATTGGAAATAATGTATATTTCCCCTTAAATGTTTAGTTTTGTGAAGGCCTCAACTTTCATCCTCATCCATAGAGAGAGACTGAGGACTGTACTGTCGGTGGTCACAGAAAAGCTTGATTAAAAAGCGCTAGCAAAAATTACTACACCAACAACGGCGCCAGCACCCACCTTCAACGGTCTAATAATTCTCTACACGTCTATCACAGCCACAGGCATCAACACTTGTGAGAGTCTCTGACCTTTAGATCACCTTGTGTCCCCTTTCGCGCCCCGTGATTCTCACTTTGTTGACGTAAAAAAACCATCTTTTTTGAAAAAGACGCAACCCTCATTATTAATTCACTTCGGTGAAGGTAGCCAGGTGTCCATGTGAACTTGCCTTTACTCTCTCTACCGTACGCATCTCACACAGCCCACAGAGAAATCAGAAAGTATTCGTTGTTCGCATAACGAGTCTGGCTTTGGCCTTGTTCTTTCTTCTTCCCTCTTATCCCTGCATTGATTGTCTCTAGCGGGGGAACTTGTCACTTTCCAGATCCAAGGTCCATTTCTGGACGATCATGGAGCTCAAGCACCAGAAACAATATCAGCCTCACAGACTGGCGTCACAGGCTAGCCTCTGTCTACAACTGCCTTTCTCTGCATTCCTTCTTACTTTGTTCTTTTCTTTGGCATGTGCTTCGCCTTCCTTAAACCAGGTACGTTCAGTTTCCTCTCCTTCCTAGCTTATTTTTCTGCTCCAGAATTTTAGTTATTTTTATCTAGTTGTAGTTTTAGTGACATATGAAATATTCTGTTGGGCGGCCTCTCCAGTTGCTTCTTTTTTAACCCCAAGTATTTGTTTTTGCAACTGAACGCTTGGTGTTCATAGAAACTGTTGGATTCTATGGACTGATATTTTATGCGTTTCTCGTTCAGTGGTTGTTATAGTCTGAGCTGCGCAAAAATGTTTAGTATGGGAATTGAAATTTGATTTTCAATCACCTTTTCATGTGGGTAATAGTAGAGATACTTGAGAAATTTGATGGCTTTGGTTTCTTTTTAGTAGTCATTCAAGTGAAAATGAAAGGAAATGAAAGAAAAATTGTTCGTTCGTTCATAGGATGAACACGACATCGGCTTGGTAGCGGCGACTTGAAGTCTTTCTCTACTGATTAAAGGATTAAAAATGCTCAGATTGTTTTAATCCTGGTTAAACTGGTATAGTGAACTTTTGCTAGATCATGAATTGTGGAGATGAGTTGTTATGGCTTCCGGTGAGGATTGTTGGATGTCGAAATTCTGAGCAAAATTGTATTGATAAAATATTCATAAAAAATGTTGTTTCAACTAAAAGAAAGTTTCATTTGTTTTTGCCTAGAAATCTTTCCGTCCCTCAACACAAGCAGATTTTCCTTTTACTATTAAACCGAAAATCTGGATATGCTTTCTGTCCTATGCATTTGTCTGTTTTGATTGTTTCATATTGTCAGGCCATTAGACCGTTCTAGATGATGACGCTGTAAATCTGCAGCAATGAACGAAACTGTTGTAATCCTTATTTCGAAAAGTAGTTTAACCACCACCTATTTATAGCAGCCCCCCAAAAAAAAAGGGGGACAACAAAAGTAGCTAAGCTTTTTATTATTCTGAAATTCACAGACCAACTTTATCCTTATTGAACGTGGAATATTTAATCTGCTAAATACAAAATAAGCATTTGGTACCATTCAAGATCATAAGACTTTTGTATGAAAATATGACATCACGTCACTAAGGAAAACTTATTCTAGTTTATTCCAAGATATTATATTTCACAGTGCTCCCCAAACCTAACATGTCATTAGACTATGGGGAAGATTATATTTTAAATATCTTTACCTTTTAAAGTAATTCTTCGCTTTATATACAGCCATGCTACTAAAATGATCATCATATCAGAGGTGAGCCGGTCCTCAGAGACTTGTCATGCTTTGTTTTCTATTGACTGCACATGCCATTGATTTTGGCCTCCAGTAATTTAGAATCGCAACTTGCTTTATATAGGAATTGGGTGCTATAAAACCTAGGCATTCACGTCTTCTCAGGAGTGCGGTACAACGTGAAACTGTAAGAGCTGATTGTGCAGTATAAACAATTTCAAATTATTCACTGATTTCTACTTATCAATATCTGTTCATTTTATATATTTTTATTTAATTTCTTCTTAATTTTCTTGTCTAGTCAGCGCCACAACTTTCTAATCTTTGGAGTCCTCTAGAAAGTCAAGGATGGAAAACTTGCGTTAAACCTAGCAATGTTCCATGTGAGTGACGTTAATACTTTTTACTTCAGGTTAAGTTGTTTCTTTGAGATCACTGATTGTTTTGGTACTTAAGATGGTTCCTTATCTTTCTGTGGCTGAACATTTAAATGTGAGCAGCATTACCAGAGAAGTCTGAGGGATTTATCCAGGTATTTCTTGATGGAGGGTTGAACCAGCAAAGGATGGGGGTAGGTATTGAAAGCCCTAAATCTTCTATATCTCTACTCCAAAGATGTATATTTTATGCTGCGTTTGTTTTCGGGTTTAGATATGTGATGCAGTTGCCGTTGCAAAGATACTGAATGCAACTCTTGTAATCCCATACCTTGAAGTAAATCCTGTTTGGCGTGATTCAAGGTACTTGCAGGGGTCAGCAATCCATATTTGTTTTATTAAATATATATCATGGATTGTTAGTGATTTGAATATTCTGAGGTTGCATATTTTTATCTGCAGCTCCTTCATGGATATATTTGATGTGGATCACTTCATTGATGTATTGAAGGATGATATTTCTATAGTTAAAGAGCTTCCTGAAGAATTTTCCTGGAGCACAAGGGAGTATTATGCTGCTGCTATACGCGAAACGAGAATCAAGGCTGCTCCTGTCCATGCAACAGCCCAATGGTATCTGGACAATGTTTTGCCTGTCCTACAAAGGTTTGTGGTTACTCACGCCTGTTTGGCTGTTACTATATATGTGGATATGAAGTGTTTTAGGCTTAGTCTTTTTTTCATGTTAAAGATGAATGTTTTGTGCATGGTTATCATCATTGAGCATTTGCTATGTAGAATCGTCAAGCTTAGAAGTGTGTGTGGAGCATACTGACTGCTCTGTTGACTATTACTTCTAAGCTGTTCTTTTTAAGCACATGGCAGAATCCTGCATTGTAAAGTAACTATAACCACTTTTCATGGTGTTTCAAATTAATATTTGAAAACAGTATGGGATTCCAAATTGAAAAATATATTTTTAAGAGGTTTACATTCATTTTGAAGGCATTTTCTGATGCAGCAGAGCTCTTTTATGAATCATTGCTTAAATTAATGGGCTGAGACCTTTAGCATTACTGCCGCTGGCAGTGAGGGCCTCATTAATGTGTAAAGCAAGCCGCATACTGCTTATATTATGGCTATTAAAATTTAGAGATTGGCTCTTTCCTTGCCAAGGACCCAAGCAATCATCAAATATTTCTGACATAGTGAGTCCAAGCATTGTCAATGCACCCTTTATTTGTTATTGTTATTAGTTGCAGATTCCAAGTATACAAGGATATTGGAAAGAATGTCTTCATGGTTGTATTATCAGAATATGATGACAATCCTTGCTGCTTTTGAGTATAGTGTGATATCTTATAATGACATGACTGAATTTAATGTGTATATTGCACAATGAGATGATGTAATCACTTTGTCATCACTTAGAACTATGGACCCTGATTCCTGGTTTCATTGCAGTTATGGCATTGCTGCAATTGCTCCATTTTCACACCGCCTCACTTATGACAATCTACCAATGGATATTCAGCGGCTACGCTGCAAAGTCAACTTTCAAGCATTAGTCTTTGTTCCTCACATCAGAACACTTGGAGATGCTCTCATAAGCCGCCTTCGCTACCCTCAATATTCTGCTGGAGAAATGGGCAGAACCTACCTTCAAGAGAGCACTGAAGCTAGTAACAGCGGGAGTGCAAGAAAGTTTGTTGTTTTACACCTTCGCTTTGATAAGGTATTGCTCTGATCCATATATTATAAATGGAGTTGCAATGCTTCTCTTGCTTCTTTTATTTTGGCGCTGCAAATTTTAGCAAATTTTCTGTTTGTTTAGGTTGCATCTGCCCCGTACTTTTAATTCAATAATTAGTTAGTCAATCAGGAAAATGGAAAATGTTACAGGAAGTAAAGGAATTTTCGAAGCATAGAGATGGTTTGCATTCTTGATAAAAGCAGCAACATTGCAATGATCAAGATGAGGCAAATTACCTTTTCTTTTCATGAGAGACGCGCAAGTTACATAAAATATAAAATCTCTTCCCCTAAACTAATGATGCAATATGGTTACCTCTTATGCGACGGAAAGACAAGCTATAATCACACCTATTTTGACCAAAATATCTTTATATTCATTATATGTACTATATAACAAGTATTAAATATGTGTTCTATCAATACAAAATAACCATGTTTTTCCAATTTAGAATAACTTAGATTGATGGTTTTTAACATGATAATTAATAGGAAAAATATAACTTTTGGTCCTTGAACTTTGTCTCAATTATGAGTTCAATCCCTAAACTTTATTTGGAATAATTCAGTCCCTATAGTTTCTTGACTCGAAAAAACTCAATCCCTCTCATTTCTTTGCTTGGAACAACTCAAACCCTCTAACTCTTTCATTCAATAAACTGTAAGGATTGAATTATTCTAAGTCAAAGTTTAGAGATTAAATCAATAATTAAAAGAAAGTTTAGGGACTCAAGTTATATTTTCTTTAATTAATACTAAAAGTAGTTTTAAAAGTGCATTTTCTAAGAGGTTATGTTTTAATAAAGGAAATGAATGTTATCCTTTAGGGTATTTCAGTAATGTTTTGGCTACAAATGAGGTTTTTGTATATATTTTTATGATAGAGGGGATGCTGCTAATCTAAACAGTGTCAGATGAGGGAAGAGTAATTTACCCAATATGAGTTGTTGACTAAAACCTAGATACTCTCACTTAAATGTACAATTAATGGAGGGCATGCGGGAGGAATTGTTATTTTGCATGCCCACAGTATCTGATGGTCCTTCTAATTGCGAATGTGTGCGTGAGAGGGGGGTCAGGGAGGAAGGAGGGATTTTCTTTTTTTGTTTGGGGCTGGGGGCACCATTTGGCACCATATAGATCTTCTGATACTGGATAAGTCAAAATTCCCCCTTCCATTTTTTTGTGGCATTAAAGTGCAGCTGAAAGACGTCAAAAAGATGTGATTATCAAATTGTTAATAGTTGTGGTTGAGAAATATCTGCAGTCTACCATTAAATGTACAGTGTTAGTAAGGAAGCTACACCAAAGACCAGGGTCGAGGAATTGCTTTATTCCTTCTCCATTCACAACCTTGGAACTTTGGGATTCATGCTGTTACTTTCTTCACTGTTTCATGTTTTAGTTGTAAATTTGGAGCCTAGGTTTGTAAAACCCTTTGGTGTATCACAGGATATGGCAGCCCATTCAGCCTGTGATTTTGGTGGGGGTAAAATTGAGAAATTGGCTCTTGCAAAGTATCGACAGCGGATCTGGCAAGGAAGGGTTCTTAATTCCCAATTCACTGACGAGGAGTTGAGGAGCCGGGGCCGTTGCCCAATGACTCCAGAAGAGATTGGGTTGCTGCTGGCAGCTTTGGGATTTGATAACAGCACCCGTTTGTATCTTGCCTCTCACAAGGTTTGTAATGTTGCTTTTGTTTTATGCTATCAAGACTCAACCATTTGAGTCGGGGGTGGATCTAGAAGCAAATCTATTGGGGGGAGGGGGATGCAAAACTACATGATAGTGGGAGGCTAAAATTAGTTTAAACATTTTTTACAAATAAAAAACAAACTAATTTTGATTTCAAAAGAATTTTTGTAACACAGTGCTGGCCCCCCTTAATTTAGTCCCTGATTTGAATTCCTCCTCACCCCTTGCTAAAAATTAGAAAGTGGAATGTTCATGTTTACCGAGTTTTAAAGCACATTTACTGTCTCTTCCAAGGTATATGGCGGAGAAGCACGAATTTCAACTTTGAGAGAATTATTTCCTCTGATGGAAAGCAAAAGGAGCCTTGCTTCAGCAGATGAGCGATCACTGATAAAAGGAAAAGCTTCTCTATTAGCAGCTGTTGATTACTATGTTGGCATGCATAGTAACATCTTCATCTCTGCTTCCCCTGGAAATATGCATAATGCAATGGTGAGTAGTGCTAGATGCTTTTTACATAAGATGACTTTTCTTCAATGCATTTTCTACCTAAGAACTTGAATCTATGGCGCTGCAATATTGCTTCTCACAGTTCTAGCCTGGTGTAGTTATGGACGATTGAAACTCCTTGTCCACAAGTTAATCTTGGATCCAATATATTCGGAAGGTTCATATTCATATTTAATTGTCTTTGACCCCGTGCAAAACTTTAAGACTCACTGGAAACAAGTGACAGTAAAGAACCCATCGCAATAATGTACTTAACTGTCATTTTTACACTTCCTTTGACACATGCATCTTGGGCTTCTGAATACATGAATAAAATTTATGTTATAAAGCTTGTGACTTTTAGGAGAAATCACATTTTAACCCCTTCTCCCCATGTGCCCCTTGATACATAAGCTTTAAAATGTAACATAATACCCCACTAATGGGAACGTAAAATCTCTTAAAATTAACTGCATGCCGAGGGCCCTATATCAGTATTTCTATCTTAATTTTGATATGAGGCAGTTATTGCCTTTGGTCTTAGTATCAGTTTTATAACTAGCCTTTAATAGCAGAAAATGTAATTTTCCTGTAATTTAATATAATCAATTTCTAATCAATTATAGCATGGTGTGGTTGTTCCAACACACGGGGCACTAACATCCCTGAAACTCCCATAAATTACTATTATTATATGGGGGTCCAATGGATATGAAGTTTGAGATTAGATGCACTTCATAGTATATAAATAGTACACATTTCTATAGATTTTATACATGTGTATATTATTGACATTGATGTTGATGGGTTGCTTGTGGAATAAGCTGATATTGATATTAATGCTGTAATGTTTGACAGGTTGGACACCGAACTTACTTGAACTTGAAGACTATAAGGCCAAACATGGCATTAATGGGCCAACTCTTCCTGAATAAGAGCATTGATTGGTCAGAGTTCCAGCAAGCAGTGGTTGAAGGGCACCAAAATAGACGAGGTGAACTCAGGTTGAGAAGGCCAAAACAGTCCATATATACTTATCCTGCTCCTGATTGCATGTGCCAAGCATAGTATATTTAATTTTCCACGGATGTAGTCTATGTATTTTATATTTATAGTCGAGTGTCTTGATTATTTGACATTTGTGACTGGTGAATAAATGCATTTCCACTCATTATCATATGGTTTTCTATATGTTGATAAATGGGGCTTGTAGTTTGTATTTTGGATCTCATTCATGTACTTACCACGAGTAACATTGATTGGTATTTAGGACCGGTTTGGTTGTAACAAAGGTAATGGATTCAATTGGATAGGAATAATGATTACCCTGAACTTGTTTGGTATGTGGGTGATCAGAGGGAAGCGACAACAGAAAAGTGGGGTGGAATTGGGATAGATAGCTTGAAAGAGGGGTGTGCGGGGGTTGATGAAGGTGGAGGAGTGAGGACCCGTGTGGTGGTTAGAATCTAAGGCATTGGAATGGAATGGATAGGAATGCTGATTACCCTAAACCTCTTTGGCATGCGGGCTATCGGAGGGGAGCAACGCGGAAAAAGGGGGTAGGATTGAGATAAGAGAGCTTGAAGGAAGAGCGTGTGGGGTTGAAGAAGGTGGAGGATAATCTAGTCCAGATGATATAATTCTTCGGCGTGGGAGTCATGATGACTCGTGAGATATTTGGTGGGTGTCATGATTCCAATAAACTCCGTAATAAGCTTTCTAACGTGAATGGCGACATCAAGAGTCAAGACCAATGTAACAAGCAAGCATCGTGAAGTGGAAACACCAAGTATTTGGACATGAAGGTCAATTTTAAAACATTCAGTTTTAAAAAAATTCAGCAGATCAACTTATTGTAAAAATACAGGGACATAAAATTAAAAAAATTAGAGAGAATTTACAGTAAATATATCCTCATGTTTGTTGTTGCTGCGTGCTGAATTAACAGGAAATCAATAACCAAATGATGCCAACACATTCAAGTATCAGGAGAATTATATCATTAAATTCATACCTTGCTAGTAGAAGCGAAGGTAAATGAATCACGTGACTGTAGCTTGGTCCCTTTATATACATAGTAGGTGAATATATACAGCTTCCAGTGGGGTTTTGAATCAAAGTTGCGAACAGAACCAAAAACTATGAGCCTAGAAACTGTAAATTGGTTTCATCATTATACCAGGTCTTTCACCTGAAGCAAATAAAATCTCACTTATCTTTCCCATTCTCAGCTGCCAGGGATCTATTTCCACCCTGGGCAGCCATTTCTTTTACCTCTCGTGCAGTAGATGAATTCATTCCCTCCTCAATCGGAAGGGTTCTCTTTGATCCCTCCAATGCTACCCCAAGTACTATATTCTCTTCAAGGGCAGGCCTAGATGTATGAGACTGGCCAGTTGATTTCATTTCATCTTGCTGTTTTGTTGGCATGCTCTTAGGACGTCCACCTCCTTTGACAGAATTCTTTGATGGTATGACATCAGGATTCCTCTCGGTCATGTTATTTACTGCAGCTCCAGTTGCTTTGGAGTTGGATGCAGACATATGTGGCGCCTCCAGGTTTTCCTTTAAGAAGCTATCAGGCTCCATTTTAATTGGCTCATTTTCACCCACTTGGGGATCAGGTTTGGATGTGAAGGCAACCTTCGAGTTTCCGGTTGCATCAGAATTAGATATCACAGCTTCAACGTCTACCTTGGAGTCAGAATGAGCTTCTCTGACCTTAGAATCTGGCGCCGTTGGTCCAACCTTGGTTTGCGCAGCTGTCTTGTTATCTCCTTCGTTGGATGGGCGTGCTGATCGGCCTTTTGCCGTATCATCTGCTTTGATTTTGTAAGGTGGTTCTATAATTATTGGACGGTTTGATACTGTTCCAGTACCACCAAATACAGATCCCACATAAGGTATGTTCTCCAAGTCAGCATCACTGTAAATTTTCTGCAGTGTACGAACTGGTGTTGCAAGTCGGGCACGGTGATGGCCAATAACCCTAAGAAGATCCAATAGTAAAGCTTCCTAACGTTTCAAAGGCAAATTGAAAATCAGCCCAAGTGCAAAGGAACATTATTTGAATAAAGATGACATGCTATAGTCCCGGGAACACTTTAATAAAATATTTATCTGCAGTTCTAAAAAATATATTTCTTAATAAAAAATATATCTTCACAAAACTGTTTGATGGATAGGCCTATTATCCCAGAAGCAAGTTTCTCCGAAATTATAAACTGATGAGTTACAGCAAAGAAGAAAAATGAGCAGAAATTAGTAAAGGATACTTTAGCCTAATATATTTTGAAATATACACTTCAGTATGATTTTAAAAATTTGTTCACTTGAACACCCTCCATAAAAAGTGTGTAAGAGAGTATTTCAGTTTAACAAATATATATATTTAGATTAATGGGGGATATTTTAGCCTAATATTCAAGAGTTTCTCTTCAATTCTATTTGCTTGGACATTTCAAACTTGGAAAGAGCTATTGTTTTAATTGTAAGGGTAGATTAAAATGCCCTGATGATGCTTTTATTCACAGCACATGGAAAGAGCTATACAAATATTGTGCAACTAATCTTCCCAATTCTTTAATCACCCTTAAAAAAAAATCCCATTTATTTGGTTCTACTATACTGCCTTATAACAAGGGACCGAATGGATAGACTAATCTATTTACAAATTGAAACTAAAGGCCATACCAACGTAAATTAAAAAAGAAACAAATAATAACAGATTAAATTGTAATTAACACTAAATCTAAGAGGACAGCATGAACATGACATGCTATATACATGCGATTGCCACACGATGGCAGTTTTTAATATGGTTGGGAGAAATAATTGATCTTACCTTAACACACAAAAATTCTTCGTGGTGTGAGGTCTTGACAAAACAGGACACCAATATCTGTGCAAGAGATGGCAAAAGATCAAACAAAATGATGCCCGGAGAGATAACGCCAAGGGGAAGTTCAGGGGAATTCTCATTGATAGGAGAGCACCTGGTCTCTCAAACACGAGATGACTTTTGCTTTTTTTTGTCTCTCTCTTCTGACTGAGAGAAGGAAATTATATCTTTCACACCAAATACAAGTGATTCAAAGGCTCTCTTTGGATTACAATTATGAGGAAAAATCAAAATCTTTTTATCATGAAATATATAACATAACATCTAACTAAAGTTATATTAATCACTACATGAAGCAAAACATCCAATAAAAAAACCAAAAGCTTCTGAGCAACACGTCAGTATTCTCAGGTCATTCTTTTAAACCAATTGATTACCAATGAAATCCAGAGGTAGCAGCATTAAATAAAATTTCAAGAAAGCACTCATTTTTCAAAACAAATTAAAATACAATTGATTTTGTTTTTCTGGAAGTTACATCAATCCAATAAAACAATTTGGACAAAGAGGTTTGTTTCACTATCTGGTTCATGCAAAATAACAAAATTTTATTTATTTAGGATCTTTGACAACCAAGGCACAGAATTTATATGTAAGATATTGTAAGCGCTTCATAGTTCATACTGACCAAAAGAGCCTGGTTTTCAGGATCTATATTGTCCAGAAACACTCTCCTGTGCAGCTTCTGCTGCTCAACTTGAGGACTTTTGGCCAAGACTTTTCTCATGTCAGCAACAATGTTCTGCATAAGTACTTTACCACGTCACTGAAGAATCATCATAAAGAACTTGATGGTAACAAAAGCTAAATAAGTGATGAAAGTGCCGCTCACATTTATCTTATTAACATCCATATGGCTAATAGCCAGGTGGGTCTTGAAGCGCCAATGTGTTTTCTGACTGAGGTTTCGCACAACGTTCATTGTGAACTTGTGATTTGGAATGTAAACAGCTTCACGATTTTCACCACGTACAATTGTCGGTGACCACCAGCCAACATGCTGCATGAAAGAACAAACATCACTGAAGATGTGCAACAAATTAAGCGGCCTCAGAAGCACCATATACGATGCAATTGCAACGTTGGTCCCGGCATGTTTGCCTTGTATACAGAATATAAAAGGTGCGATTTGACCACCTAACACATACCTCCACAGTACCAGAAACTTCATATCCTTCGACCTTAGTTTGAATCCATTCATTCACCACAAAAGGCCGAGTTGCATGAATTATTGCACTTGAAAGGAAGTTTGTAAATATCTAGACAGATGAATTTATTATCAAACTTTGCTTCATGATAACATCACAACTATGAACAAGGCAGAAATGAGACAACAATAAATCCCACACCTCACGACCAGCAAGAGTCAGCAAAACAGTCCCGAGACCTCCTGCAGTAACCCACCTCTGAGTAGAAAAGCCCAGCAACTCCATGAACAAAGAGAAGGCAGCAATCCATACTGCAGAATAAACAGCTTTGCCTGCAAATTGGAATCCCATCTGACAAGGCAGACAAGCATAAATCATCATTGTGTTTTTAAAATTGAATAATGCTAGTTATGCTTCTATAAGATATGGGAGGTTGCAAAAGTGGCTTTGGGAGAATCAAAAGGTTTTGGTCCGAGAGATAAGGAGTCTTGGTGGTGGAATAATAGTGTACAGGACAAAATCAAGTATAAGAAAAACTGTTTTAAAGCCATACATTTGTGTAACAATGAGGAAAATTGGGAGAAATACCGTATGGCTAAGAAGGAAGCTAAGAGAGCTGTGGGTGAAGCTCGTTCTAAAGCTTTTGAAGAATTTTATAAGAGCCTTAAAACGAAGGAAGGAGAGCGAAATATTTATAAGATTGCCAAGAGTAGGGAAAGAAAATCAAGAGATCTAGAACAGGTAAGGTGTATTAAGGATGAAGAGGGAAGAACTTTAGTTACAGATGATGAAATTAAAAATAGATGGGAGACTTACTTTTCTAAACTTTTCAATGATGGAGAGGGTTCATCTAGTAACTTGGAGGATTTAGTAACTGGTGAAGGAGAACAAAATTTGTCATTCTATCGAATAATACGTGATAAGGAGGTAAAGGAAGCTCTTAAGAAAATGGCAAATGGTAGAGCCAACGGACCTGATTGTATATCTATCGAAGCGTGGAAATGTTTAGGTGAAGAAGGGGTGAGATGGTTAACTAAGTTATTTATTGTGATTTTACGGTCCAAGAAAATGCTTAATGAGTGGAGGAGAAGTACATTAATTCCTATTTATAAAAATAAAGGAGATATTTAGAATTGTACTAACTATAGAGGGATTAAACTCATGAGCCACACAATGAAATTGTGGGAGAAAGTAATTGAGCACAGGTTGAGATTGGAGACAAGTATTTCTGAGAATCAGTTTGGTTTTATGCCAGGTAGATAAACTACAGAGGCAATTTATCTACTAAGGGGATTAATGGAAAAGTATCGTTGTAAAGATAAAGATCTACATATGGTTTTTATTGATTTGGAAAAAGCTCATGAACGTATACCAAGAGAAGTGCTTTGGAAAGCGTTAGAAAAAAAGGGAGTAAGGATTGCTTATATTAAAGCCATACAAGATATATACGAGGGGGTAAAAACTAGTATAAGAACGCCTAGTGGTCAAACAAAAGATTTTCCTATAAAGATCGGACTACATCAGGGATCATCTCTGAGTCCTTATTTGTTCAACTTGATCTTAAATGTTTTGACAGAACATATTCAAGGGGAAATTTCAAAATGTATGCTCTTCGCGGATGATATAGTTCTTATAGCAGAGACAAGAGAAGAGGTTAATTGCAAACTTGAGTTATGGAGGAGGACATTGGAGTCGAAAGGTTTTCGTCTGAGTAGAAGTAAGACGGAATATTTATATTGTAAATTTGGTAAAGGACTATTCGACAATAATTTGGAAGTGAAATTGGGAGACCAAATTATACCTCAAGTGAAAAAGTTTAGATATTTGGAAGCCATTATTCAAAATGATGGCGAAATCAGTGGAGATATTTCACATAGAATTCAAGCTGGGTGGTTTAATTGGAGGAAAGCTAAAGGAGTTATTTGCGACCGTAAGGTGCCTAATAAACTTAAAGGAAAGTTTTATCGTACTGCTATCAGACCGGCAATGTTATATAGTAGTGAATGCTGGGCTCTAACGGGATAGCAAGAGCATAAAGTTAAAGTAGTAGAGATGAGAATGTTACGATGGATGTGCGGACATACACGTAAAGATAAAATTCGAAATGAGCACGTACGCGAAAAAAGTGAGGGTGGCACCTATTGAGGAAAAAATGGTAGAAAATCGGTTGAGATGGTTTGGGCATGTACAAAGAAGAACAAGGGAGGTACCAGTGAGAAGAGTGGAACATATAACTTTGAGTCCGATTAAGAGAGGTAGAGGAAGGCCTAAGAGAACACTTTTGGAAGTTATTGAACGTGATCTCTTAATTAATAATATTCCTAAAAGCTTGATAAATGATAGAGCACAATGGCATCTTGCAATCCATGTAGCCGACCCCACCTAGTGAGATAAAGGCTTGTTGTTGTTGTTGTTGTTGTATGCTTCTATAAGATACATGTCCCAAACTCCAGGTTTTTACAAATATTTTCTACAGCAGATCACATTTTGTAGGTAAGTGAATAGTGATCATGAATTCCATTGAGCTATCATGCACTCGACTAGTTCTGTTGTTTTATTAATGATAGATCAAACACATTAAATAGAGAAGCTTCAGTCTAGAGATACCATATCTCATCCTAACTAAACAATCTCATTCTAGAATCTAGGAATACATCATTAAAATATATAATCTCAAAGAATCAAAACTGAAAAATATTAAATCCTAATAGCTAATACCGTGTATACACATGGTTCTTATCAGCAACAAAGTTACCAAGTCATTAGTTTTCCATGTACGGTAAATCATCTCCAAAACACACAGCCATGCTAAATTATTTTTACCCCTGAACATAGCAAAAGGAAAGTTACCCTAATAGATTCAAGTGCTCCAAGTTGTATGTTTTTGTTCTAAAAATAAATCTAGTGGATTGCTAATTATATGAGAGTAAAATAAAGGTAAATGGTCAATCTAAAAGCTGAATACCAACATTCAAAAATATCACACAACTCAACGATCGGGAAATCATGTTTTAACAAACAATATCAATGATCATTGCATCCAAGACGGATTGTAAAATGGAATTGATAATATACTGATTTAAGTTTCTGGATTATAAAGCCAGCTTCTTTTTCATAAAGCATAGATACATACATTTCTTGTCTCACAGGCATTAGCTGCACTCTCCATGAAGAATTTCTGTGCTTGTTGAATCACACTGCAGAAGATTATTATAGAATAAGTCCTTTATTTTAAAACTATAAAATAAGTTCTGTGGCAGCAACACATATTACAAATAGATATCAGATTGGACAGCCCAAGTTAGCAACACAGCAGCAACAAAAAAGCATAATGGTAAACAAGTAAAGCATCACAATATGTCATAACAATAGAAAGCAAGACAATATCTCTCCAAGAAGAAAAAGAAAGGCTTGAAGAGCTTCAGTGCAAATCATTTTAACCAGAAATGACTAGTTGCAACATTAATTCAAATCACCAAACCATTCAACAGTTTCAATAGGTCATGCTGAAGACAAGAAAATAGACAAACCATGATAAACAATAGGCAAAGGCAAGTACAGTTGACAATGACCGTACAAAACTCAAAAGCCGTTCCTTGACAACCTGAGCTGCTTCTGAAGGCAAATTTAATGGGTCTAAGGCTCTGCAATTAGCATGGTAATTGAGTGAGTGGAGAATAGGTAGTTAGGTACATTGGAAAAAATATATCGCAGGAAAAGTTTGATATAGTTATTATGCCATGACAGTTAAACCTGCAAATAAGTATAGCTCCCGTCCATAACAGTAATGGCTGAATGTAAGAAGTTACTACATAATGTGTGCTACTTTTCTTCCAACTACTGTCGCTCCTCTGCAAGAAAAAGAGTCCAATATTATATTATTAGGTAATAGATGATGTGAGGAAAACCATGTCATACAATTCTCATGGACACAGTAATACAGAAATGAAAGTACTATTTACTACAACTTACCTGAAGAAGCCGTTTTCTTGTGTGGTAAATTAATGGGGCCACACCCCACAATGCAAAAATGATCGTGCCAATGGCTGGAATCAACTTTACTGTGACAGGACTACATTGTAATAGATTATAAGACCTGCATTAAAATAATATGAAAAAACATTACCACAAAGACAATAGTAATATTAAAAAATGTAGCCCTAAAAAGGTGAAAATGAATTTTCTTAACCAACCATCTTGGTGAAGCCTTTTGACAACAAAGATGCACTAACAGGTCAACAAGGAAGAGAGTAAATAATGATTTAATAACTCTAGAAGCTAAACGATGCCTCTTGGGAGCTCCAGGAACATCTAATTAAATTGAAGCGACACAGATGCTGTACAGAAATGAATATTTTGACTAAGGATAAAATCGTGCACTCAAAAATACACCACTGGAATACATTGCATAATATTCTAATTTATCAACTAGTATCAATATTGCTGGCAGCAAATATACGTTAGGGAACCATCATGCTGATGGAAAATAGGAAGTATGTGCAAATTGGCAAAATTACTAAAAAGCAAGACAAAGAAATCAAGATATTGACACACAACTTTTTTTTGTCCTAATAAATTCTCCTTAACAAGGACACAGAGCAAAGAAAGGAAAAACAGCTCATTATTTCCTGACGCATTTCTATCTTTTAAATAAAAGAGGTTGTGTAAGCATAACAGCATGAAGAAATTCCCTTAAAGCATATAGAAATCTATTTTCAATTGTGGATAAACCAACCGTCTCCTTTATGATATAGCTTACAGGCATTAATATTTCCAGGAAGACAGTTTAAACCATCGAGCAAAAATATAGTAAAAGAGAATGCATAATATATTCGAACACCATAGCTACAAAATACAAATGTGATAAGGACAGAGAGTAAATGGTTCATGCCAACAAGAATGATAAAACACTTAAACCTCTGCAATTGATAACTGTGAAATCACAGAATTACCTTGCCAGTGCTGTGGCTGCCCCCTTAAAAATAGGTAGCTCACTTCGTGGGCCTTGTCCTAGAAAAGAATGACACTTAAAAGCATGGGATTTGGAAAATAAGGAATGTACTGGGCTATTTATATTGCAAAAGAGTTGAGTTCTCCAGCAATCCTGCTTCAGAAACTGCAATGAAAGAAATGAGAATATAATAACACTAGAAGGAACGGGCATGCAAGTTCTAGAAGAGCCTTTTCAAAACATGCATGAGAAGAAACAGGCATGCAAGTTCTAGAAGGGCCTTTACAAAAGAAATGACAATGTAATAACACTAGAAACATGAGCATACCGAAACATGATACAAGGGAGCTGCACTTGATAAATGTAACTTGGTTCTATACATTATCCTCTGCAAATTATGAAGTAAAATTAAAGTAAGCACTGAAGGCAAGTGTAATAAACCATGAACAAAAATTATTAAAAAAGAAAAAAGGAGATAATATTAGTACCGGTACTGTATGTTGGTTATAGCAGCCCAGGTTCTTGCAATGTCCGAAATCATGGGACAGCTGCAGAGAACCGGGAAGAGCCATCCCTAGATCAAAATGATTATCAAAGAAGGTTTCGCTGGCAGCTGAAGAAGACAGAAAAATAAATCAGAAGCACAGTAGACTTCACTCCAACTCAATGCAGCTGAAGCAGCGAAAATAAAACTCGTCAATCTTCGAAGTTAGAAACCTGAAGTGAAACCAACTTTATGTGAGGATTAGAATGGTTGTTTTGGGGGCAGGGGAAGACAATTTGACCATGATTCCTCATAAAAGAAAAACTTCATTTAACCAACTCCCATGGATGACAAAAAACGGTTTTGGAAAGAAAGCATCACATCATCGGGCAGATGCATTGGGGAAGACTAAAAGTCTAGAAAGTTATGGTACAAGGACGTCCTCAAAACTACGTTGGAAGGTTGGTTTCTAACTATAATTGCACGCAACGGCTAAAACCATCATGTTATTACTCACGATTCAAGATATTCAACGCTGGAATTTTCTTGTCATTGTTTTAGCACCAACTTTGCTTATCATCACTCATCGCACCGACAAATTTCAATTCGGTCAGGAATTTATTCCCAATAAAACAGAATCTAATTCATCGAGATCATCATTCACGAAAAATAGGCACTTGCAGGGATGCTATCAAACTATCTACCCTGTTGAAAATTGTCATGAATGTGATAAAATGGGTTGTTATCAGAATTTAGAATTATATAAATTTCAAGATTCGAAATTTGTGGCGAATTGGATTACCACTTACCTGATAAAGACGAAGAAGCTGGCTCAGAAGAACTTCACAGTAATCGCGAATCCGAAGTGACAGGAATTTTTGGCGCATGAAATTATTATGGGGCCGATTGCGTCGTGGCCTAGACACGCGCGCAAGAAATTCTATGCTTTCACTTTCAGCCCCAGTTATGTTCTCCACGTGTACTCCTTGCCTTTCGTCTTCTTCACACAGCCATCAAAGATCACAATTTTCTGGCCAGATGTGCGCTTCTGATCATTTTCTTCTTTTTAAATTTTTAATTTTGGCCATAAACAACACTTTGGTGTTATCTGTACAAAATAAAAATACAAAAAGGTAAACGTTTTCAAATTGAATGAATATTTGATCCGAAGCATATTCTACCTTCCGATAAACGGCAAATATTTTAGCATTTGTATTATTCCTTTTAAAAGCTCCAAAAGGACTCAAGAACTTAAATACTTTTTATTAATTAAAATATATATTTAATTCTTTAATTTTACATAATGTTTTATTATAATTTCTTAAATTTATAAAGTGTCTCTTTAATCTTTTAATCATAATTTTTTTTAACAAATTTTTACATTGAACTTTCAAATATTGATAAAATATTATCAAATATTAACATATTAATTTTATTTTTTAAAAAATAACAATGATTGATATAAAAAAAATTATGTGAAACTAATGATATAACATCCCAAATTTTAATCCTTAAATTATTAAGGAATTAGTCAAGTTTAATTATGGTGACTAAGTGATTTGTTGTGGTGTGTGGTCAGAGAAGTTTAATAAATAAATTTGGTTGTATTTTTGGCTCTAATTATGGGTTTGAAGTAAAGTTAGGCCACCCGAGTATCAAAAGAAGGAAAAAAACATGAATGAATAGTCTCTGTGTCACATACTGCGGTATACAATACGATCACTATAGTGTATAGATGGCAAAGGGACAGAGAATCTCTTCGTGCCACACGCCACAAATAAGAAACTAGTGAACAAACTGAAAATTAGAATGAGAAAAAAGGAGAGAACAAAGAGCAAGATGCAAAACTCTACTAAGGTTCACATTTGAAAGGTATTTAGAGCATTTTGGAGATAGTAATCACTTGAGGTAAGTTCCCTAAGCCCTAATTTCCCTTTTTCTTCTATTTTCTTGAAGTTTTTTGTTAGAATTTGATAATGGGAGATGATTTTTGATCCATATAGATTATGGGTCTCAATCCATTGGCTTAAATAGAGTTAATCAAAGTTGTTTGATGTATTTAAATTTAATAATAATGAGCTTGCATGTCTTGGTAGTTGTAGGTTCATTAATGACCAAAAATGCCATTTATTAGGGTAGTTAAAATTGGTTGGGAAGCTATAAATGACAACATGGGAGTTTAATGGAGTTATTAAGAGCTAAAGAGAGTTAATAAACTTAATAAGTAAGCTTAAAAGTGAGAAATAGGATGTTGGAAATTTTAGAAGTGAAAAATGTGAAAGTTGAAACATATTTTTGATAATGTTGATGAGTTTAGAATTTATTAATTGTAGATTTAAGTATTGGGGCACTATAGTTAGCTTGGAAATCAAGCTTGAAAACTAATTATTGCAGGGTAACTTTTGACTCCTTAAAAATTTAAGATAACTCGAGGAACCATACTTTGAGTAATTGTGTGTTAATTGAATGTTAATTGTGAAATGTGCATATTGACATGTGTTATTTGACTTTTGAATGTGAAAAAGTCTCATTAGCTTTGATAATTGTTTGAATTGTCAATACGCATAATGTTTTATTTTGACTTAAAATGTGAAATTGAAGTCAAAATGATTTTCAAAACTATGAATATGTATATATCTTGGGATGCGAAATGTGATGTATGTGATGTGATTATTGTTCTATTGATGAAGAAATTGATGATCTAGTAAAGTGAAGAACAATTATGAAAACATTATAGATGCTCGTATGGGTAGTGTATTATCGTAAGCCAAATATGATAATAATGAAGAAATGAAATTGTGAAGTGAGCGAGTATCGTACATGAAATGATCAATTGGTGGGAATTCGCTTAGGAAGAGGAGTTGTTAAAAATTCATATGGTATTTTTAACTGCTTTTCAGTGAACGAGGGTATAACTTTGTCCCATAATTTATTAAATGACTCTCATTATTTGTCGAAGAACTAGAACTTAACTATCTCCACTAGTTTATTGAGGAGAATAGTTTAGAATATACAATACCTCAGAGATTCGAGAATGGGAGAAATCATGGTCCGAAAGTGAGTCTTGTGATTTTTGGCCAGTTCATAACTTATAATTGGTGAGCTTAGATAGTTCAATTACACAGACGGAGCCTTGTTTGATATTATAGCCTAAGGTTTCAGTCGAAGAAAATTAGGAGGGTGTAAGGATGGTTTAATCATGCATATGTGTTTATTTAATGTGTCACATGATTGTTTAAAATTTGTGGCAAGTTGTGATAATAATTTGGTTCATTGTCACATATTTATATGTCTTATGGCAAGGTACCATATGATTTGAGATGAAAATTTATGAGAATGAGTTAAATTAGGAAAATGGTAGCTTATATTGCACGTGATAATATGAATATTTTGAGAAAATCAACCCCTTTTATGTGTGTTTGTTCAATTGATATACAATTACATAGGGTAAGCGTACTTCGTTTATTAAGTGGCTAGACTCACCCCTCTATTTCAACATTTTACAGGTTCTAGCTCCAGTATGGAAAGGGAAAAACTTCAAAAGGTTTACTAATCTAAGGTTCCTGCTGTAAAGCCTTTTACCTTCAATTATTTTGTAAAATACTAGTGCAAGTGTAGTAAGGTTGCTTTAATCATGATATTGATGATTTATTATGAAATACAATGCTAAAACGTCCCTCTTATGTTTTAAGTATTAAGAGGTTGAGGAGTAAAATTTTGATATGATTGGAATTATGTGCGTGTGGTGTGTTGTACAGGAAGTTTTAGGTCCTATAAGTATGTTCTAGGTGTTAGGTAAATCTTTTGGTACAAGTATGGGGTTTTAAACACCCTTTTGGTTGTGAAAGTTGTGAAAATATATTTGAGTGTCCAGCCCTATTATGTGACTTAATTTGGAAGCAAAAGCAGTGTCATTAGTTTGTTTATGAAAAGAACTTTCTGTAGATACTTAAATCATCTCATTTGAACATTGGATGAAGAAATAGAGCAAGCCAAAAGTTGCCCCCATTTGCTATTAAATGCGTGCAACACACTGTGGCGCGTCGCATAGAGAGTGAGGAGCAGCAACACATTATGCACAAGCCACAACACACTGCTCTGTTTTTCAGCTTGTGACATTTTTCAACTGTTTTCGAATATTTTCACTTTTCTAATGTATCTCATGCTTTCAAAATAATATTTTTACTCTAATTAAAGGTATAATAAATTATTTTGATTTATTACAAACCATAAAAACTTGGGATCTTATTTCTTTAAATTACAAAATTGGTAATCTTCCTTGGGTTAAACTCTGGATTACCTTGAATTGTTAACTAATTATGACTAGATAAGATAGATATTACAAAAGATATTAAGGTTAAAGAACTAAAAAGATATTTTACAAAATTAAAGGACTAAATTGACACCTTATATAACGTTACAAGATTAGAAATATACTTTAGCCCTTAATTTTTTAATGATTCTTTTGTTACAAATACTATATTTACATTATCTTTAAAATACTCGTTTAAGATTCTCATAATAATGTAGTATTGTAAAAATATCTCAGTTCCTTTATCATAATGAAGTTGGCATGATGACTCAATTTGTTACATATATGGATCACCTCCTTTCAATATAGCAACCCACAGAACAAAGATGATAATGCTTTGAATGAACTGAATAATGATGTCAAATGTCGCAAAGCAAATGAAATGACAGCTTGATCCCTTATGTATAAGCGTAGTGTACAATTGAATATCATGTAATCTAAAGAAAAATTAATCATGCTTCAAACTAATTGTTGAGTTCCTCAAATCAAAATGGCCTCAAGGTTCTTAACCTTAGTAGTAGGATGCTCAATCATTCTCTCATTCACCAGGGACTCATCATCACCATTGTCCTTGCTCTCAAAAGATTCCACCATGCTTCCCACCATATCCAGTAGCTTAGTATCCACAGCAGAGAATTCACAGATCTTATCACCCAACCCTAGAAAGTAATCCAGCAAATTCTCCCTTTCTGATGACAATCTCTGAGCTTTCTTAGTCAATCTTTTGTTTTCGTTCTTCAATTTCTGAAGATTGGCCTCTACTTCACTATCAAGAACTTCATCTTCATCATCTTCATGCACTGAAGAAAAAGTTGTCAAGGAGCTGGAGAAATGCTCTTTAAGTGATGCCATTTGCTGCATAATTTCATCCATTCTCATCTTCCTCTCATTCATTAGCTACATGAGCTTGTCTTTCACATGGTTGTTTGTTCTCTCTGTAAGGCCTTTTACCATCACTGCACTTTCAAATTCTCGTCTGAATGCTTCTTGTTCTAGCCATTTTATCTCCTTCTGCAGTACCTTTAGAATCTTGTCCTTCTCTTTTATGATCTCCAGAATTTTCACTTTCTCACTCTCAGCTTCCTTTACTTTTTGCACATCTATTCTCCTCTCTTGCTTGAGGCTTTCTCCGAAAACTACCTGTGCAAGAAGTGAAGCTTCAAGTTCCTTACGTTTTGCGTGGCTCTCTTCCAAATCATTCTTTAATCGTTCACAAGCTAACTTCCATGTCTCCACTTCACATTCCAATTCATTCCCTTCATAAATCAGCTCATCCAATTCAATGACTGCTTTATCCAGAGCATCACAAGCTTCCTCGAGTTTTTCCTTATACATTTCAAGCTCGATCTCTTCATTATTACTATCATCCTTGTCCATGGCTTGAGCCTCAGAAATCGCCTGCTGTAATACTAGAAGCGTCACTGATAGCTCCTCATTCTCCAACTTCAACTCAATGATTGAAGAATCAAGACTTTCTGAAAGTTGATTTTCCAGTTGCTTTTTGATGCTTTCCTCATGGGTAAGGGCTTGTTTAGACATGCGGAACTCATGTTCCAATCGCTCTAAAGTTTTTGTTTGAAAATGCAGCTTCATTTGTAGGGAAGAGATATCATCAAGCAATGTGTAAGTTTCTAACTCTGGATCTTCATTTGGACTAATCTCCGCTTGTTGCTCCACATGTGCTTCTTCCAGATTCTCAAGCTGTTCTTTCTTCCATGTTACTTGTTCTTCCTTCATTCTGTTCTCTTGCACCAGCAATTTCTTGAACTTCTCATCTTCATTTGCTGCTCTTAAACTTTTCTCGGCTTCCAAACTCTTTTTTCTATGAATGGATAAACAAGCCGCCTCCTTTGCCTCTTCTAATGCTGAAACCAATGATCTTTTCTCATCTTCTAATGTTCTCAGCCTCTCTTCATAAGTCTCTCGTAGTTTATCATTTGCAGAACTAATGTGTTTGATCATAGATTCCTTGTTCTCCAAATCCCTCCTGAGGTCTTCATGCATGAGCTTTGCCTCATTAATCTCATCCACTTGAGCATCATGGGATTTTTTAAGATCCTTAAAAGACTCTGTTTTTTCTCTTAATTCTGCTTTAAGCTTTTCAACCTCGGATACATAAACTTTGGTGGTCATGATAGATCTTCCAAATGATCTTCGAAATGAAACCTTTGGTTGCATATAACATGCAAAAAAGAAGTATATGTATAAACCTTTGGTTGCATATAACATGCAAAAAAGAAGTATATGTGTATATATATATGCCAGTACTAAGAGGCCACCTGAGTTTTCAAGCTAACTCAGGTGGTCGTCTGAAAAGATGATAACTTAAAATCAATAGTTGAACAAAATTAAATGATCAACTTTCAGAATTGTCTTCCAGATACATCATTTGTTGTTATTGCAACACCAGGTAATGACTTTTTCAAAAAATAAAATTAAATCACGTTATTGAACACACTGTATATGTTGTTATCTTGAGGAAAACATGCCAATATTATAGGGACGTTAGAAACGTACACACATTTTGCTTCATTTGATTCAAAAAATATGGAAAAAGATAGCCCTTTAAGGTTCAAAGTAGTTGACCAGCTTCTATAAGGAGAATTAACGGTTTTACAATGGAGGAAATTCCTAAAGACTAGGAATGTCAATGAATCTTCCATAATTAGGAAAATAATATAATGAAATACTTATATTCGGTAGTAATTACTGTATAGTAAAATCATACTATCTAACTGACAAAAACTGATATCAATAATCAAAATAGAGAGTGAAACGAAAACAAAAGGTTTGAACAATAGAGAAACTTCTCATATTCAAATTGTCTAACTTTGTTTTAAATCATTATTTTTTGTAATGTGCAATTAAAAGAGTTTCTTTGATTTACATCTTATTTTTTCCAGTAAAAATATTCAACTTCAGTATATAATAAAATTAAAAAGATGATATAATTTTTAGTTTCTCAAGTTTGCCTCAATTATTGATTTATTTTATTAAGTTTAATGTTTATCAATTTAATCTTTTAAATTTACTTTGATTATCAATTTGGTCCTTATTGTTTAGGTTACATTGTTAAAATTTATAACTTAAATAATAAAATATTGATGATAGCTATGTAGATTAATAAAAAAAATATAATTTTTAAATAGAAAAAATAAACTAACTTTTTAAAAAAACACACAATGTGAGGAATGAGATTTATAAAAAAAAAAACTAATTTGAGGGTTAAGTTGTTCTCATTTAACTATATATACATGTCAAGTTATTAATATCTTTTATATATTAGATTATTTTGAGAGTTAATTTGTATTTTAAAACTTGAAAGACTCATATAATAATTTTAAAAAACATAAGATTTCAAATTGATGCAAAATTAAACTTAAAAGACTAAATCAATAATGAAAGTAAATGTGATGGATTAAAAGCTTTATTATCTCTAAAATAAAATATGAATCATGTCACAATAAATATTTTTTTATGTTATGAAAGGATCAGCGAGATTGATTCAAGCCATAGATAAAATAAGGAAGAGAGAATCATGAGAACTTGAGAAGAAAATTATTTCTAGATAAGGATTAATAATAAGTCATATTCAAGAAAAACAAGTATAATTTTTCATTTTAATAACAATACATTTTGTATTAATATTTATTTATAAATAATTATCTTCTGAGATTCTTATATGTGATTCTCCCAATAAGGAAAGCATAACAAAAAAAAAAAAACACTACAAAGAGTTATGTGTGTTTGGTTTTCAGTTTGCCAAAAATCCATTTGATGAAAGTTCACTTGATAAAAATTAATTTAGTGAAAGTCAATTATTGTAATAAAATTTGTGTTTGGATATATTTTTTTAAGTCATTTTTATATACTAAAAGTTGTTTGAAATATGATGGTAAAATGTATTTTTGAATGTACAATTATTAAAAAGGATATTAATTTATAATAATTTATAATTTTTATTTTACAAATGTAATATATTTAAAATATTTAAAAAATGTGATAAAAATTTTAAAAAACATAACATTTGATCTATAATATTAAAAATTTGATCTCTAGTCATTTTTACCTTTTTAATTTGTAATTTTAAAAAATGTGATAAAGATTTGTAATTTGTATTATACATTAATGCTAAAAATTAACATGATTAATTATTTAATTTATAATGCTAAAAACTTGATATTTAATTATTATTAGTGAAATGATATTTTTATTTTTAATAAATTAATTATTTTTTGAATGAAGGAATAAGAGATTAAATTTGAAATAGTATGGTCAAACAATATCCTATTTTTTAAATCCACTTTTTAAAAGTTTTATTATTTTAAGTTGACCCAAAGCACATTCAACAATATCCAAAAAAGACTTTTTAAGTAAAAATTTTAAAAAAGATTGAAAATCTAAAAATAACTGACTTTTGAAAAGTAAAAAAATACCTTCCAGATGTTGAAAATAACAAAACCAAACGGACCTTACGTAATCGAACGATGAAGTGGGGAAAAAAATAGTGGAATACTAAAACGTGATTTCTTTGGGTTGGGCTGATTCAATTCCATAACAAGGCCCACTCAGTGTAACAGTTGGGCCATGAAAGCTCTGCTCAAGCCCTGTCGGCGTAGGAAATGCGAAGCCCACAAGTTGGGAAGACTCGTTGATAAAAATAAAAAGTCTGGGTAAATTACAATTATTATGCTACCAAATGAAAAAAAAATCATATTAAGAGAGATATTCCCTATTTTTATGATGAGTGGCAATTTTTGGGATGTAGGAGTCAGGGAATTAGGGAAATTCATGCCAGCTATTTAATTGAAAATAAAGAAGAAAAAGAAAGAAAGTAGTAACTATTAAGCCTTCTGTTCGACAACATTAATAAAATAAATAAGAGAATCAAAATAATGTCCTAGTTTGCAATATTTCGAAATACAGACATAACTTTTGTCCTTACCAAAAGATTAGGTGATATATTTTTTTTTCAATTCATATTTTTTATTTTTTTTAATATTTTTAATCTCTATAAAGACTGAAAATATTAAAAAAATTATATGAATTAAAAATAAAATTTGATAAAATTATAGAAATAAAAAATTATGTTTTTTCTTTAATTAAGGAGAAAGGGGAAAGTAGTAACTACCAGGCCTTCCCCACAAATATAGCCCTAAATTGCCAAAAAAAAAAATTTACATCGTTTATTTTTATTGTCCAACAACTCAAATTACACCATTGAACAAGGAAAAATATTTAGGTAGACTGGATGTACCATGTTATTTGTAATCTATTCAATTAAAATGTTTCAAGTAATTTAAATAAAATCTTGTATGATATTTTTTAAATTAATTTTATTTTTATAATAGAACATTTTAATATCATAATTAATTTATATTTAATGACATCTAAATGTCATGTTTTTATTGAACATACTATAAATAACGTGGTGCACTTAGTCCACCTAAATATTTCTCTTGAACAAGTTCTTAAGTACAAAATTAGGTGGCACGCCTATATTAATATCATATAGCCCAAGTATTTTATGACTCATAAGTACATATTTTCTATGAATTTTATATTTTATGATATTGATATCAATTATCTATATTAGTAATTATGTAGATAATATTGCGAATTTACATTTTATAATTCCAAATTCTTTTCAAAATCAGTATTAATCGTTGATAACAAAATTTAATTGGATAGTGACATTGGTTTTTAGCATACACAAGAATGTTTTATATTTTCATCGAAAAAAAGAATGTGTTATATAAAGTTTATACTATTATTATAATGATTTAAATATCACAGCTTCTAATTCATTTTAAATAAAGCTACAATAAGTAATTTTATTTATCAACCAGGATTAGTTTAATAGAAGGAATTGATCCCTATAATATAATGAATTAAAGTTCAAATTCTCATTGAAAGAGAGGCATGCTTTTAATATCCACCTTATCTTAAACATAATTGTCTTTAATAAAAAAAATACATACAGTTGTTCACGATTAAAAAAAATGTATTTTTATTTTATTGAAAAATTTCCCTTGTTTTTATCTACTCTCTGCCTGGATACGCATTTTTTGTCGTGCCTTGCAAATTGACATGTTGACATGCATGAAACTGTATGAGAAATTGATTTATTTTTATTTATTTATTTTGCCTGAACTGTCTGAGCCTTGGACACCACACACTCCTTCTATCCTTCTCCATCTCCAATCTCTGTCCGATCCGCATTTTTTCCTCTTATAATTAAAAAAAAACAAAATAGAAGAGATCCTTTTATCATTTATGATAGACATCAAACTCTGAATGAAATCAAATTTTAAAGGACCAAAATGATATTACTTCAATAAAATGGGAAATAAATATCACATCTGATGTGTTATTAAGTTATATTCAATACATTTTTGTATCTACTTTTCTATCGGAAAAATTAAATGTATATCAGACTTTTAATTCGGTCTGTGACTGTGAGATCATCAATCACCACCATTTTGCTGTCGACTTTGAATGGTGGTAATGGACTAGTGGCATTTAACTGTCGTTTTGTGTTCTCCAGCTAGCAAGTTCTTTTTATGGATAAGACGACAATGTATGTATTTTTTTTCCCCCAGATTCAAAGGTTGTTTGAATTTAGTGTATGATACTACAAGCACATAATATATTACTTCAAATAAAATTAACTCAGATAATTCATGGTAATCTACACACACACACACACATCCATTCAAAATTCAAAATGCATATATAGACTGGTGGAATAATTTCCTTAATTTTGATTCGTTAAGGCAGTCTTAAAACACACCACCAAGATATTTGTCACTAACTTGATTGCTGGACGAAACGATGTTAAAACCTCTTCGCCGAAATGAAGCACACAGTAATTCACTGTACTCAGCTATATTGCCTTCATTCCAAGGAAGATAAGACAATAAAGAGGAATCATGATTAATCATAATACAATTCCAGTTAATGCTAATATTATAATTGTAATTTTCTAGGGTGCCATGCAATATTGAAGGCCAATCATTGGTAGGGTTTGATCTGGCTTTGTTGAAAGTCATTGTATTTCTAGATATCCATTAACCAAAAGCTCAATTTTTTTTTGGTTAATTAGATTCATAACAAATATTATATACCTCTCA